TTCCCCTGCAGAATGTACAATAACTATCCATCACATTATTACATTATTATCCATCACATTATTACTAACTTGATGAGGAAAGGAAAACAGAAATTAATTAGAAGCCACCTTAAACTGGGAGAGATTGTTAGTTTATTTTGTGAGCAACATCATAAGCATACAGTATAACTGTATCATCTTTTCTTGTAACATGCCCCACTATGGACTGAATAAAGTGGTTAGAAAATGGATAGAGGGATATTTTTATAACTGTAACAATTTCTGCTCAGGTGTGATCATGGGTTCATTAGCCCATGGGTTCCTATACTGACTGGCTGGGAGCTCCCAGCAGTAAAATACAATTTACTGAGCACTGCCAAGTTTTTGTTTAGAAGCTGGCTGAAGGATCCCAGTCACTGTCAAATTTGCAAACCTGATAAACTAACATCTAATTATTCCAAATTCAAAATAATAAGCAGTCTTATTCCAATGAGTAAATAAAGACAATTAAGCAGTTTGAGAAGTTATTTTTTAAAACTTTATATAAAGTTAAGTTTACTGTTACAAATATTAATCCATTTACAATGGATTACAATCGAAAACTTTTGAGTAGGGAGCTGCATCAGCATGCAGAGGCTCTAAAGGAATGGGTAAAGTTCATTCCGAGCTGAAAGGTAAAAAAAGCAAAAAAAACTTTTGTTTCAGCTGTGGAGCCTTCTTCAAGTATGATGGAGAAAGAGAAAGCAGCAAATATAGAAGGCACAGGAGAACAAAAAACAGAGCAGATAAAAAGGGGTGGGGACTAGGGGGAAATGTGCATAAATCCATTGAAAGGGAAGAAAGGGAGAAAGTTGGGGGAAGCTGGAATCTGTAGATGAGTGGAGAGGATTTAGAAGGAGATGAGTCTGTTGTTGAAAGAAGGAGGAAGGTGTGATCCAAGTTTAAGGATATTTTTGGGGGTTTTGGATTTCGTTCTGCAATAGGAGTTCCAAAAGCCCTGCGTTAGGGTGCAGACAATGTGTTCAGAAATATTGTGTCAGAATTGAAATGGCAACTATCGGTTTGGATCTTTGATCCACACAGCTCTGACATGTTCCCTGATATGGTGCGGCAGTCTTCTTTCTGTCTCACCAATGAATTATGATAGTTTTTTAAGAAACTGTTACTAAGATATTAACATTTTCATACTTCTGTTTGTCAATGGTTTTGATTATGAAAATGACTGGTATACCATAATCTGTTGGTAGCTGCACACAATTAAAATTGAACAGTTCAAAAACTATTGTAGACATTTACAAAACATTAACAGTCCATTAAACAGGCTACACTCCACTTATGATGAATAAGGTAATCAGGTTAATTGGTAGAGAAAGTGTTATCTAACTAAAGAGAACTATGTAACATATCTTAATTTCCACATTCCATACACAGTTTTTAGAGCTTTATTGACATACTAATATTTAGAAACATGACATGGAATTTGGTGAATTTGTACATTTAGGGTATATTTAAGAAGCTACCTGTTTGTTGACAACTCCTGGTGTCAAAAGTTACAGTATATGGTTTCTGGAAATAAAGTCAGATGGTTTCTGGAACTTCATGAATTGCTTTGGAGCCCATTGTGCTTACATTCCAAAATAACGGAAAATTAAGGCAAGCTTAACAAATTTCAAAGCTTATGCATCTTAATAACTCCCACCTAATCAATTTCAACCCAGCTGATCTACCATGACAAGATGGTGCATGCGTTTTCTCAAAACAAATACAGATTAATTCTAATTTATATCTGGAACAACTCATGGGTTAATTTCAGACTGATTCCCAGGGCTATACTTATGAACCATGCAGAAGCACAAATTTCTTTTAAAACTGTACAGTATGTAGCCTTCTTTTAAATCTAAGAGAAAATATGATATTTGTCAACATACTGTACATTTTGTGTAGGGAAGTCAAAAACCTCAGTGTACATTCTAGATTAATATCTAATCTTGATTCTGGGGGAACCACTTTGTTCTGTTTTATTTCTGTCCAGACAAGGTCTTAATTTCAGACTAATTAATTTCAATGTTCTGTTTGAAGTATACTTTTAAACTTGCTGTCAGACTCTAAAACACTGAATTGAATTAATATGTGGTATTAACTTTACAACAAATCCTGAATAACAATTAGACTTCTGCAGATTGAAAAAAGACACTAATTGTGGGAGTTTTTGATACATTGTCATTTCAACCTGTGTCTGCATACTATTAATTTTTAATATGAGTTCTTTAGAAAGCTATAATGCAGCAATAATTTAAACAGTGTAACAGAGTTCTGCTCATTATATTGCTAGGAGATGACACACATAAAGGAGAGTATCTGTGAGACCATATCCTCAATGAATAGAACTGTTAGAAATAAATCAGTTGCTTCAATTAGCTTAATTAGTTAAGAGCTTAGTTTAAATGAAAATCAGAAAACACATGGGTACTTCGAGTCCAGGACAGGGACAGAGTGCTCTAGATCGTACTTATGATCATTTTCTTGTGTTTAAATGATGGTAGTATAGAATATATTACAAGACTTTGCATGCCAATAGAAACCCCAGGGACAGAGATTTTCTATATATAGAATCTCTGCTATTGGCTGCCATGGAAAACAGCTTCCCATTGCTCACAGGGGCAAATGGTGATCTTGCTATAGTACACTAACGACAGACATCTCATACAAGTTATTATTTCAAACATAATGTGCTCTGTAACATATTGCTTTGAAAGAAATCAAAGTTTAAATACAACTACAAGACTTTACAGTTCAGTATATATACTGTATACACAACTGACTTCCAGAAATTATTTAACATATTATTAACATCTATAATGTGACTGATGAGAGGATTGAGAAGTAAATCATAATGTTATAAAAATATACATTTGGGCAATGAATTTTTTTTTTTGCAAAGATCACACTGACATATGTCACAAGACCTAAATAAAATTTCAAATTACAGAATATATTGACCTTTTTTCCTTAAGCATAAGTATTATGTGGGCTGCTAAAGGAAAACAAGCCTATGGCCAATAAACGAGCATCACATGATTCAGGTACTGAATTGTGCTGCAAACCAATGACAAAAAAATCACTCAGTTTGGAAGCTGTTCTGTGTTCTCACTTCAAGAACCTCTAAGACCAATGGGCAGGACTACTCCCTCTCCTGATCTTCAGAAAAAAGCTGGAAGGAGGGCTACCAGAAGGAGGTTATATAGTTAAATGTGCAGCCAATCAAAACATCACCGTAGGTCATAGGCTGTGGGACATCTTAATCCTAAAAAAGTAAAGCGGGTAATGAGTGGGCATTCAGAGTGTAGTGGTATCCGTCCTCACAAATTAAACTCACAAAACAACTCCAACTTATCAAGTGAAAATGCCTCTCTGAGGTTGGTGTGCCTTCACTAGACAGGAAATTTGATGCCATATTGAGGGTCTTCAGCAATTGACACAAGGGTTAAAGGTCTATATTGCAGCTTGAATAGGCTGAAGTTTGAGTAGGCTTCTACTGATGTAGGACAGATTATACTAAAGTTAGTGTGTAATACTTACCCTGGTGGCTCACAATAAAACTGTTAGTTTGCATTCTTATCAGTAACAGCTACAGTTTTCTAAGCTAAGAAATTTCCTTAGTCTTAGAGAAAGTGCTGTCTCTAAGTTATTTCCTTAGTCTTAGAGAAAGTGCTTTCTGACACTTGTGTTAACTAATTTGCTATATAATGTCTGTCTGCACATCTGAGGGAATCACATTCGATTGGCATCCCTCAAACGTTTCAGAATCAAACTTTCTGAATCTGACCAGCAAAGCAAATTTTCACACAATTGGTTAAAAGGGCTGACTGCAAAGAAAAAGAAGAGATAATGCTGGGATAATCGGTGTGAGAGGGTTGGGTAACTGAAGATTATGCGTTGAAAGGACTGAGACAAAAACCTATAGTACCAAATATGATGTAATGCTAACAAGTGAGAATTGATCCAAGCAGGGTAGAAACAAGCACTATATTTATCAGATACTGTAAGTAGTTCTGAAATGCAGGAAACAACCAGTGAAAGGAATATGGGTGTTTATGCATTTGTCTCTTCACATCACAACCATGTAGGGAAAAAAGTAAACAGCAAACAAAATGCTTGGGTATATAACACAAATTCTGAACTTTTCAGAGATTTAAGAGAATTGTGCTATTATATACCTTATATAAAGCTTCACAATAGTTTAGTAGACTCATTTTGAACAGACTCTTAAATTTTTGTTAACAAACTGTAAACCCAAAAGGATATTATAACCTTAGAACCAGTTCACAGAAGAGGAACAGGATTTGTTGGTTCAAGCACCAAAAAGATACAGTTCACTGGGAACTGTACAAACATGGGAAAAAAAAAATGATCTAGTCACTGCTACAGGAGTCACACATCTCCTACAACAAAGGAGATTATAATATGATTTGAACCAAATATAAAATATTGTACTGATAGGGTCAACTCTCAGTATAAAGATTGTACTGATAGGGTCAGTATAAAGAGATATACTTCAAACCCAGTAGCATAGACATAGGGTAACAACTGGATAGAATTTGGGAAATTAAAAATTAATATAGGAGAATGTGAAACACTCCCATTCTCACAACACTTTATATAAAGAATTGTTGTTGTCCGAGACCAGGATGTGTCTGACCAGGTAGTTAAGACCCAAACCTTGAGCTTCAACAACAAGTGGCCAGATTACATTTTAGATTCACTCAGCTGTTAACCAAACAAAAAAAAAAGATATAGCTTGCTTTTATTCAATGAGATGTCATTACAGAAAATTAGCCCCTTTAAAATGAAAATTTACAGTACCCTGAGATTATTTCTGTCAATTTCATGATATGAAAGAAAATACTGAACTTTTTTGAATATAACATTTTTTGTGATATTGATTTTTTAAAAACATATATTTTAATATGCCATCTCTAGAGTAGCCATTACTGTTCATAGCTATTAGGCACACTTGTGTACACCCAGTATTTAATGTATTGATTTTTTCAGGTCTTCAGACTTTGAAGTACAGTAGCCAGATCAGCTTCAGACTGATCCGCAGGGTAGTCAGCTCATTCTTTTTCTACTGTGAATTCCACTGGGTCACTGGGATTTTGCTGTTCTTTTTGAGAATTCTTTTGAGAATTTTCATTAAATATCTATTCCACATTATGTTCAACGTTTAATATGTTTATCTCCAGAAATGTTGACAAAAAGAAAATGAAAATACCTTTGCAACTTCTTCTTGAAATGACATGAAGTTCAGGTAGGTAATATTAACCATATCAGGGCCACACACCACAGTCAGCATTTTGTTCTCCAGCCGCCCTCCCATATTCCCCACATCCAGCAGCTCTCGTAGTTTGGCATCCTATAAATAAAATAAAGGTACAGTACAAGATCAGCATCAACAACAAAAGCAGGTAAATTCATCGGCTTTTGAAAATCTTTGGTCATGTTCTAGATTATAGCCAGAGTAATGGGAGCCTCTTATTAATAGCCAGACATCAAATGGAAAAAGACTTGAATGCATATACCTTTTTCCTGACCTTCAGAAAAGATACCTTTTTGGTGGTACTAAACCCTGGTTCTGGAACTCATTTATTTTCATTCCAAATGAGTTATTTAGTTGGATGGGGTTAACAATCAACATCAACCCTAAAGATGCATTAAATGTAAAACATTCAAAAAAGAAACATAATGTGACAAAAGAAGGCAGCGAACACTTATAATTAAGTTGAGGAGAGAGAAGAATGCCAAGTTCTGTTTCACAGAACAGCTGTAACAGAATATTTCTGAAAGCAAAAACTAAATGAAAATGTTGAAAAGAGTTTTTGTGAGTAAGAATTTAAACTCTAGAGGTCACTTTCCAACAGTTTTAACAAAACAGATGACACAGGGGACTGGGCTTGAGAATCTTTGCTTTACATGTAAATTCAACCTTCTGTCTTAGACTGTTGTACTGATATATAAAACATTTAGGGGGTTAAACTAACCTGCTTTTACTTATAATTAGGATATACAATCAGCCTTCATTTACACATGATGTAACCACATTACATTTTGAAACAAGTCAATATATGGGTAATGTACTTTAACTTTAAACTTTGAACAGTTGCAATAGTAATGTCTGTTCATATAAAAAACAGTGGTCAAGTTCAACACTTTCTTTAGAAACAGTACGTGAACTGTTTTGTTACAAAAACATTTTAAACATTGACTTAAACTATGTTATGATAATTATTTCTATTCCAATCAGACATTGATGTTTTTTTAGGGTAAAATGAATAGGATTTTTTTTATACAGCCTTCCTGATTTCAATTTCAATTCAACTTTATTGTCATTAAACTTACACAGGTGCATAGTATAATGAAAAGTGTTTCTCATTAGTCACTCAGGTGCAGTATATAAATAGGACAGAAGATAAGACAACAGACAGTAACACAATAGCAATAACAGTAACATGTAATAACATAACATAAATAACATGTAATCAAGTAATCAAAACTGTGCTAAATTCCGCAAACAGAGAAAATATAACAGGACAAAAACAGTGCAAGGTAATTCTTGGAACAGTGCAAAAAAATAGTATGGTTAGAAGTAGTATGGTTAATTAATAAATATTAAATATTATTATGCCTGTTACAGTTTTACTAGGCTATCGAGGGGACAGTACAATTTCGGCTTACATGTGTGTGTGGTGGTGTAGGAGTACAGACGTTGTGGGTACAGGAGGATGTTAGGAGAGATCATAATAAGGTGGAAGGGAGTGGGGCCAACTTGACAGCTCTGGGGAAGAAGCTATTTTGGAGTCTAGTTGTGTGCCACTGGAGTGACGGAAACCTTCTGCCAGATGGTAGGGGAATAAACAAGTTATGACTGGGGTGAGTGGGGTCAGACATAATTTTGGTGGCTTTTTTCAGACTCCTGGTGTTGTACATTTCCTGAATGGATGGTAAGGCACTGCCGATGATGTGTTGGGCAGTTTTGACCACCAGCTGTAGTGCCTTAC